TAGGAAGAAGAAGAAAATAGAAAGAGTGCCGTGTGCTTCGTGGAGACCTGCACGTTCAAGAGACGTGAGGCGCAGAATCTCAAGCGGCGGCCGTCATGGACAACCGGTTCTTCTTAGGGGCCTTGGCGTTCTTAGCAGCCGCCGCCTTCTTGGAGTCGTCCTCCACGGCCTTCTGCGAGAAGTCTTTCCACTTCCTCCAGCCGTCAAAGTCGATTAGAGCCTGCATGCAACCCCATTCCATCACCTTCCGCTCGAGCCAGACAAAGTTGACGGGCTAGAAAGTTATGTGTCAGTAGAGCTCACACCTCAGGTTCAGAACTTGCTTACCTTGGTTAGGAAATCGTTGCAACCGGCAGCCAAGGCCTCGTGCCTATCGCTCTGTAAGGAGCTAGCCGTGAGAGCGACGATGATGACGGGACTTTTAAACATCTCCGTGTTGACGAGCTTATCTTCCTCCGCAGGTTCTGCCTTGATCTCGTCCGGGGGGCTGCTGGCGGACGAGGAGAACACGCCGATTGAGTTGACTTTCTCTATCCTCCTAATCTCACGGGTGGCCTCGAGACCGCTCATGACGGGTAATTGGATATCCATCAGAACCAAATGAAACCCGCCGGCGCGCCACTTATTCACTGCCTCTCTACCGTTCATGGCTGTCTGCCACCTGACTTTTAATCGCTTAACGAAGGCTTCTAGCAGCTTTAGATTGATGATATTGTCTTCGACAATGAGGACGTTGATGGGAGGGACGCCGCCATTCAGCATGCCCGGTGGTAGTAAGGGGTGTTCGATAGGTTTCTTCTTCTTGGGCCGGTTAACGAGTCGCGGCGAGGAGACGCGCGGAGGCGGAGGCGGAGTAGCGGTGCGTTCTGGAATTGGTGGAGTCGAGATCGCGGGAGGGACAGGCGGGTGACTGGATTGTTCTGAAGATGCACCTGAATGAGTCCTTGAGCGCGGTTGTCTAGGGTAATTGTGTATACCGATAGGCGGCGCTGCGGGTTGCGAAGCAAGACCGCTCGTAACCGTAGAAACCGGTGATGGAGTGTGCATCCTTTGAATTTTAGGTCTTGAAGCTCCGAGTCGTCTCGTCCCGCCGGGAGACGGCAACGGCGGCAGTTGGCCTCCATTAATAACGGTTAAAGAGGGAGGAAAGTGAAGTTGATGGGCTCCGTTGAGGACTGTTGTCGAGGCGTTATTCGGGTGTTGAGCTGCAGGAGGATAAGGTGGGAAATAATCGGTTGCGGATTCGTGAGGCCGGTCGTCGGCGAAGTATCTAGGATTCGGAGATGCTTTAGGCGTTCGACGGCTTGGTATATCGATTAAGAGGGCGTCGTCGACGGACTGGCCACCGGGATAGTAGGCATCAAGGGTCCTACCCATGGGCTCGTCTGGTTGTAGAGTTCTACTCGTCTGTTGTTCCCTGTCACATATACGAAGCGTTAGGTCCGGGGAGTCGTATTGGCGCCCTAGGGAGTTTGCATATTTTCGCAAGATCATATCGCGAACATCGTCAACTAAATCCTCCTCATTTATAGTGATCAATGTAGGAGAGGCCAGCGGCCTTTTAACCCATACTTTTCTGGTAACCATATTTCCGCTAATGGGTAGAAGTTGATCGACTTCGCCTTGGCCTACTTCGCTGCTGGCATAGCCTATGTTGCCTGTGTTGCCTGTGTTGCCTGTGTGGAGGAGAGTCTTGATCAAGGTAGTTTGGAGGTTCGGGAGAATGCTCTGTCGTCTTGGCGGCCCTGTTGGTCGAGACACGGGTATTGAAGGAGATAGAGCACGGCTGGAAGATATAGGTAGACGAAGATAATCGGTTGTGTTGTTGTCGGTAGTATTGTTTTCGTCGTCGTTATTTTTATTATTGTCGTTGTTATTATCGCGATGTTGAAGTTGGGGTTTTTGATGATGACGATGTTGATGATAATTTTGGTCTATGATGCGTGGCTTAAGTTGCAGAAGGGAGGCGGCGGCAGGGTGTTCATTGATACTCGGCAGCGGTAATGGTGTGGCGGCAGCCGAGATTGTATTATTTAGATCAAGGCTTAAGATGGGCGTAGTGACAGTGGGAATAGGCGTAGGCGTAGGCGCTGGCGCTGGCGCTGGCGCTGAATCGATTGTAGAAATTTGCAGATCCTTGCCAGTCTTAGATGTGATAGAAGAAGATGGGGTCAGGTTGTTCGAGTTGTTAACATTAACACTCAAATCCTCATGCGCATTCGCACTCACACCCATATCCACATCTACATCCACATCCACATCCACATCTACATCCACAGCCACAGTTTTGAGAGCTTTATGAGTGTTATTCATATTAGAGTTGTCGACTAGGTTTAGTTGCTTCTCTAGCTCTGGTGGAACCGTCTCAGCTTCATCCCGATTTTGATCTCGGCCTCGGTCTTGGTTTCGGTCTTGGTCTTGGGTTTGGGCTGGGACTTGACTCGGAATTGGAACCGGAGCTGTGATTGGGGCCGGGACTGACACTGGGACTAAAACACCAACATCAACATCAACACCAAACCCATTTCCTATCCTCTTCGGTGGACTATCGTTAGAACGAATAGAACTATTACTCGGTCTATCGTCGTTGGTAGCAGCCGTACTCAACGAAGCCGCATAGCCCGTAGTGGAAGTTCGCGTACGTGTGCTGCTGGAAGCCCTATCCTGGCCAAGACTCGGCTTGCTCGAACCCAGCGTAGGAGTCGCGCTGTGTCTTCGCAGGAGCTTGGCCTTGATGCGGGCTTTGAAATCACCCATCTGACCTGCTGTTGAATAAATTCATAAGGGGAGGAAATTGAACTTCTTTCTGTCTTTCTTTCTTTCTTCCCTTTTAAAAATATTCCGGGCCGAGTCCACTGGACTCAATTAGTGTGAAAGTATATAAACAACATAAACCAAACGAAGAAAAAAAAAAGTAAAGATAGGAGATGGGACAAGGAGCTTGTTGCAGAGAAGCCCCGTCGGTTTGTGCTGGTTTACACGCCGGGTGGATAAGGCGATATAATGATAGTGATAATAATAAAAATATATAAGCGTATATACATCATATACTGTAGGCACGTTTTTTTTTTTAATACGATCTGGTAGCATGCAGTATGCTATGGCAAAAACAATCTTATTAGCGGGAGGCAAAAAAGGTCTCGCCTGGCATCCATATCGTATGCGCATGCGAAGCTCCCGGGGACCAATACCAAATGTTGCCAACAACTAATAAACCGAACTTAACCTAATAACCTACCTAGGTTACCTTAAATGTATTGGCCTTTAACTGTATTGGAACAGGTACAGTGGTAGGCTGCCCGACAGGATGAGATGGATGGGTGTGACAGGCGGACAGGCGGACAGGCGGCCAGGCTTTTCCCCTCCAAGCCTGTCCAAACCAGTCGCTGTGCTTGTGGGTGTTAATCTCCTTAGGGAATTATGGGAGCTCCTCATGCATAGCGGATCGCGATCGATCATTAATGAGCTAAGCATGGATGGTCGACGCGTCTCGATTCAATCCCAGTTAGGTTGAGTTAGGTTGAGTTACATAGGTCGAGCTAGGTCGAGCCTTTCTCATTACTATGTAACCCAGTGGCCTTCTCAGTGGTCGTAACCATTAGACCTAATATAACCATAGGTGGGATTTTTTAGTCTCGGCTAAGAAGAGAGGTAATGATGTATGTATGTATGCATGTATGTATGCATGTATGTATGTATGTATGTATGTATGTATGTATGTATGTATGTATGTATGTATGTATGTATGTATGTATGTATGTATGTATGTATGTATGTATGTATGTATGTATGTATGTATGTA